TATGTCTTGTGGTTCGGGAGTAATCCTTTCCCGAAGACGTTCACACCCGAAATAGCTTTGGCACAATGACCATGGCACTTTTTTCAATTAAAAAATTTCATCACATTTATTTTTTAAATATATTGATTGCCATTGGATAGCATTGCCAAAGCTATTTCGTGAGTGCACTTCTTCGGGTGAGAACTACTCCGGAACCACAAGACATACAAACAAATGAATGGCAGTGTTTTGTAGACCAATAAACAGTATTTTAAATTAAAACACCAATTTACAAAATCCCGTTTAATTTAGTTTAAAAAATCTAATTTTTGAAAATCACGGATTTTTATTTCGATTAGTTATAAAGTAAGTATATATTGATAATATTTAGAAAATTAATTAATTAGCTTATTAATTGCGATAATTATATAAGTTAATTACATTAATAAAATATATTTAAATTACACGTTCAGTTTAATAAAATACAGATTTTGTGCATTAATTATTTGTCGTAAATAAAGTAAACACCAAATTCTCGAAACATCTCAATATACTAAAATTTATTCCATTATTATTTTTTAGTAACCCAAACTGCATATGTAATTATAATTTAATAATATAGGTACAGTCTATCTAAGTAAAACAATTAGACTTAAAAAGCATAAGCGTTTAATGGATCATGGGCAAATGGGCGGAATTTGGCAATTGCTATTTGACCATATAACATAAATGTATATAAAGTAAACAGTCTCCTGGCATTGTCCATATTGCTGATTCACCTTGGCTCAAGACATTGGTAGTGACGCCAAACACTATACCCACTGTTTACCACCGGTTCTCTCACCCACTCGGGCGGGCAGTACTGTTATGCACTGTTTAGTCGCCCGATCTCTGGTCTCGTTATTAACTAATAGGTAAGCAATGATTGTTTGGAAATACATGTGACGTATGGCTAATGTTGATACCAACTGATAATATTTAAAATTATTTAATGTTATATTATTTGAATTAATTTATTATAATTTATTATGTATATTAATAATCAATATATTAAATTGTTAATAAAATATACTTTTTAATGAATATAATATTCATATTTAACTAGAATGTATGATTATATAAAATTGTATTAGATAATCTACATTATTAATTAAGTAATAATTATAAAAATATATCATCTTTGAATAACAAAAATTAGTGAAAATAAACCATCCTGTCCAATTTTATGTATTGTTACAATAATTGTTACTAATATTAGCAAAACTTTGCATAAAAATTACAGTTGTTACACAAAAAGAACATTTTATACTTAATTGAAATTTATTAATTGTTAATTGGTAAAAATATTGGTTATACTCATCGTTTGGAATAGTGAATATAGATACAAACAATTAGATATACAACATAACAATATATTTTGTTATTAAAAATATTTTAATTGTGTTAAAAAATATTAATATCCTTATTGTAATACTTATGGATAACTTATGAATAACATACTTATTGTAATAAACTATAACATAAAATAATCTTCTCTATAATATACAAGCTACAGTATTATTGAATAAATATATAAATGGATTGAATATTTAATAAAAATAAACATTTTATTAAATTATATAATTAATTTAATTAATAATCAATTAATGATACTTTTTAACAAATACAATGATTTAATTAAAAATATAGTTTTATAAAAATGTATTACTTAAATAAATAAAAATACAATAGCCCTGACTGTGTGCACATTTTAAATTGTACAATTAATATACAATGTATAAATATTGCGTTGTAATATATTTATAAGTGAAATTTTTAAGTATCATAACATAAATAATTGCAATGATTAATTTTAATTAATTTCTAATAAGGTTTTATTGTATTTTAGACTAATTATTAAGATAATATATTAATATTTGTTTAAGTTAGTGTCTATAATAACTCAACCCTTAGAAAACTAAGTATTAATAAATTTAAATATAATGCTTAAAACTTTAATTAAGTCAAATTTTTCTATTTTGTTATACATTATGCAATTATAAAAATATAATAAATATTTTATAAAAACAACGTCATAAAATAAAAATACATATGTATTTATAGTACAAAATAATTAATCTGAGCATAATATATGTTTTTATTAATAATAAATAAATTTTACAATTTAAATTCCTTGACATTTAAATGCAATGTGTTTCAAAGATTATAAATTTTATTTTTATTTTGTATTAACTAGAATATTTTATAACAATAAATATAAATATGTTACTCTATAATACTTTTAATTACCCGTTTCTACTCTGATGACAAGTTTTAAACTTAGAAAACAATAATATTATGGATATTATGAATACCATATTATTGAACTACCAAGTTAAATTACTGTCTAAGTTTTTGCACCATTCGAATTTAAATATTGTATATTTTATGTTTCTTTAATAGCAATAACTCCCGGTTGCGAGTTATGCCTCAAAATGAAATAACTCACTTATCTGAACATAGATTAATTATACTAAAAACAAATTTTAAAACATTATTTTAAAACAAATGTTTCATGTAATATTATTTATACCAATTAATTAAACAAACAGAATGCAGTAAATGTCAATTCGTGACATAACAAGTTAAATCAATTAATTTTGCTAGTCTTTTAGGTAACCCGGATAAATATTAATAATAATAATTTATAAAACTGGCAAGGTCATCTAATACAGTCAATTCTCGAATTAATACTCAATAAAAATTTGTTTAAAAAAGTTTATTGATAATAAATTATAAACTTATAAACATAAACTTATAAATCAAGTATATCTGAAAAAAAACTAGATTTGAAAAAACGCCTAACTGTGTGCATTTTAGCAAAGCTCACACATATCGAGTGTAGAGATAGTGAATGAAATCATTGCTTGCATTCAATACAAACACTCATTTGATTCACATTTTACTCAATGGCTGAATGAAAGTCATTGAATGAACTCGTATAAACTAAATTATAAAAACTAACCGTCCTATTATATTTTTAATGCATTTAATACGCAATCTTGTCAACGGATTATTATATAAAACATTGTCTTTATTTATTTATTATAAATTCACCTATTAAAAAATCAGTTTGATTTTTATTATAAATGTAAATAATTTTCATTGCACAATAAAACAGGTGTTTGTTCATAAATAATTAATAATTATAACGCAAATGAAACTGATTTAAAATCAATCATGTCAACTTTTGATAATTTTTAAAGTATAAAAGTAGCGATCACAATTCTGAATGAATCAACAGTTGCTGTTAAATCAGTAGATTAATTAAGTTTAATCTCTACAACAGGCAATAACCATAATGTTATATAATCAAACTTTGTCCGTAGTCTTAACAGTAGTGTTACTGTACTTATCGGGTCAGGCGTCGGGTGTTTGGCGCCAGCGATGCGGCAAATCACAGACCGGCACCCGTATAATTGGCGGGGAGACTGCCGTAAACGGGAAATGGCCCTGGATGGCTCACATCGAGTTTTGCCCGGATCAAGGCAGATGTTACAATTGTGGGGGTTCGCTGATTAGCGATCAGTGGATACTGACCGCCGCCCATTGTGTCATTGATAAGAAAGGAGCCATTATCAATAAAATTACCGCCAATTTTAGTAATTATGATTTTACTTATGACGAATGGAATGTAAATACCTTTCAAGTCAAGCAGGTTTGTTTAATTTTTGTTTTATCTAATTTTTTTTAAATTATAAGATTTTTAAATCTTCATATCAATAACTTGAATAACATCGAATAATATATAATACTAATTTAATATAATTTATACATGTAGATCATATTAGTATTGTATTCTTATATACATGTAGAATAAATTAATATATTCTAATTTGTAATTCAAACACTTACTTAACAAATTATACCATAATTATTTAGCCTATCGTTCACTGGCTTTATAAGAATTATACGCTCGATGATATTGCTCTACTTGAGTTAAGCGAACCGCTAGATCTGAATGGTATGGGTATCGAACCAATATGCCTACCGCCAGCTGACTTGCCAAGGCCTGTGGGCACTCAATGCGTAGCCACGGGTTGGGGAGACACCATAGGCAACATAATAAGCCCCTCAAAGACATTGCAACAAGTAACATTACCAATCGCAAATGCTGATTTATGTGCTAATAGAGGTCAGTATTTAATAGTTTAAACTCTATGTAGTCAAAGTAGCCATCTTTCTCACCTTGGTTAGAGTGCTACATAATTTTAATATACATTGGTAATGACAAACCT